CCCTGTGACCCGGACTCTCAGGGATCCGGCAGGAATTGCTCCTTTGCTCAGCAGCTGTCTCAAGGCACCTGTGCGGCAGTGGTCCTGCTGTTGGGCTGCTTCACGACGTTTTTGTCCACAACGCACTGTGCATACAGTGGTGGTCCGCTGAGATGATCAGACTGTGTTTTTGCTTCCTTTTTTGTGCTGAGACATATACTTGTCGTTGTGTTACAGTGGCCTCAAGTATCTGGGACAGTACCATGGTGTCCAGGTTTGTAGCCTAGAAGCAGTGGGCTCTCCCGACAGCCCGGGTGTGTGGTAGGCTGTGCCTGCCAGGAGTGTGTGCGTGCACTCGGATAGCACAGTGACAAGGTCGCCTAACGATGTGGTGTTTCCCAGACCTGTCTCTGTCATTAAGCAGTGCGTGACTGTGTGTTGTACAATTTTGTAAGGTGTAGACTAACACGTAGAGAAGCGTTTGCATAGAGTGCTTAATTCTGATTATACCCTAAGCATGTAGAGTTACCTGGTGTGTATCTGTTTTCTGTAAATGTCACGGCAGTGGCCCAGTCGAGGGGCCTGGTGGTGACACTGCCTGGCAGCTCGCCCTGCTTGGAGCTCCATCCTGCATGCAGCTCCTGAGTCTCGAGGCAGCTGCCCCCACGACATTCCCCTGTATTTTGTGCTGTCCATAGGCCTCTGACTGAGGAGGACATGTGGATTTTTTAAGACTCCATATTTAGGAATGATAGCAGTTGAAAAGCCTGTTGGGGATTCAAATATAAATGGGCTTTTTAAAGTAGCTTTATTTTTCTAAAGAGGGACGTGGAATCTTTTTATAGAAAAATTTTCCCTTTTTAGGTAGAAAGCACAGTGATATTTGGCTACTGCCACAAAAAGTTAATTGAGTCCTTTGTGTCAGCCAGAGGATGAGACTCTGGTGGGATTCCCATGCAGGCAGCAGCAGGAGGCCCTGCCCCAGCACGGTTAGGGCAGCCGGGGGCACTCCTCAGCGACCGGGCTGCTACAGGCCCCAGGCCTGTGTTCCTTTGCTGGATGGGGACGGCAGTGGCAGCACTCGGTTCTCCTCTTTTTTTGAAGCGGACTTGGATGCACACACACTGGTTTAGTTTTATTTTTGAGACGGAGTCTTGCTGTGTCGCCCAGGCTGGAGTGCAGTGGCTTGATCTCTGCTCACTGCAAGCTCCATCTCCCAGGTTCACGCCATTCTCCTGCCTCGGCCTCCCGCCACCTTGCCCAGCTAATTTTTTGCATTGTTACTAGAGACGAGGTTTCAGTACTGGTTTAGATTTGCAGGAAGGTCTGATCCTCAGATTGTTCTTATAAAGTAATGCATCAGGAAATTCGTCAGGAGGGGCGTTCGTTTCTTGCTCCGTATGTGTGGGGTTTTCTTCTCAGTTGACTGGTGTAGTATGTCTGCTGGATGGCCGTGTCCCTGGGGTGCCCAGCCCGGAGGGGATGGAGCTGCTTTGGAGTCTCTGGAACTGTGAAGTGAGGCCAGCTTGCTGGACTCTAGAGAAACTTAGTGAGCTGAGATCCTGCTAGGTGTCAGTATGTGAGGGGCCACCCCAAAGGCTCTTGCCAGCTCCGGGTTGGATTAATAGAATTGGTGTCTAGCAAAAGGTACTGACTGCTTCTGGTTGACATTCCATGGATGGGTGTGGTGGTCATTCTGAGTGATACATTAAAAGGGATGCTGATATGATGGAGGGTGCTAGAGGAGAGAAGCTGGTGGGACCCTGCATTTGAACAGTGAGAACCGAATTCGTTCCAGCTTGGGGCAAGCAAGGACCCCTAGCAGTCACCCTGACGATGCAGTGAATTCTGTCTCTGAAGTCCAGTAAACTTGGATGAGATCACTCAAGCTTCCTTTTACATTTGAGATTCCATGTCTTGATGTGTTTTCTTTGTGTGTGTGTGGTTTTTTTTTTTTTTTTTTTTTTTTTGAGATGAAGTCTTGCTCTCGCCCAGACTGGAGTGCAGTGGCTCATTCTCAGCTCATTGCAGCTTCCACCTCCCAGGTTCAAGCGATTCTCCTGCCTCAGCCTCCTGAGTAGCTGGGATTACTGGCGCCTGCACCCGGCTAATTACTGTATTTTTAGTAGAGACAGGGTTTCACCATGTTATAAGGCTGCGGCTGCTCTTGAACTCTTGACCTTGTGATCGCCCACCTTGGCCTCCCAAAGTGCTGGGATTACAGGCGTGAGCCACTGTGCCCGGCCATCTTGATATGTTTTTTAGGGTACCTGCCCATTGGTGGGCTTTTACATAAAACCCTGTAAGTGGGTTTTGGGGACAGTTGTGTAACATGCACAAAAAATAAATGGAGGAAGAATGCATTACCTAAATAGGCACTGACTTGTGTGATTGAAGCTGTAACCATCCTTTGCAGCCCAGAGTCGCTGTGACCTGTGTGGAGAGGGGGGAGGTCCAGGTGGAGAGTGGGTGTGAAAGCCACAGAGGATCCCAGGGAGGAGTGGATTCCTAAGTAGGAGGTGAGGCGGGTCATCAGTGAGGATCCCAGGGAGTGGCTGTAGTGACTGTGCCCACCAACCCTCCTTAAGGCCCTGCCCTGCTACTTGCGGCTCTAGGAGATTTCCTGGGTAGTCCCAGCACACACAGCCTGTTCGGGCCGATGTTGCAGCCCAGAGCCATTCCTGTGTGCCCGGCCTCCTCTGTGCCTGGGCGCCCTGCACATCCGCGGCAGGCGTAAGCACCTCTGCGAGCTTTCTGAGCACCTGTTCGCCAGCGCCTCCTCCCCACCCCTCTCTGTTTCATTGCTCCTCTCTCTGGTTGTGACAGTTGTGCCTGTTCACTGGAGGACTGCTGGGAGATGCAGGAAAGAATCAAGACGAGAAAACCACTGAGAACCCTCCATGTAGAAGCTGGGATAGGATTTGCTTTGCACCTGCCTTTTCACTTACAGAAGCTGGGATAGGATTTGCTTTGCACCTGCCTTTTCACCTACTGCGACATGCAGTATTATAAAGAATCTGATTCTTAAACATCTTTGTCAAGTTGATAGAACAAAATGGTGTCTCTGCTTTATTTGAAATTATTTGATTACTAGGGAGGTTGATTATAGTTTTGTTTTTATTATTTGTATATATTTTTAAGGTTTTAAATTTGATTTTTGTATTTTTTTAATGCCATGTATTTTTATATCAGTTTTATTGAGGCATGATTACATTAAAATTCAATAAAATGCACATGTACACTTAGATGAGTGTTAAGAAATATGCACACTTGGCCGGGCATGGTGGCTCACGCCTGTCATCCCAGCACTTCGGGTGGCCGAGGCGGGCGGATCACCTGAGGTCAGGAGTTTGAGACCAACCGGACCAATATGATGAAACCCCGTATCTACTAAAAATACAAGAATTAGCCAGTCGTGGTGGCAGGCAGCTGTAATCCCAGCTACTTGGGAGGCTGAGACAGGAGAATTGCTTGAACCCAGGAGGCAGAGGTTGCAGTGAGCCGAGATTGCCGCCACTGCACTCCAGCCTGGGCAACAAGAACGAAACTCTGTCTCAAAAAAAAAAAAAAGGAAAAAATATGCACACTTACGTAATTCCCACCACAGTCAAGATGTGGCCCCGTCTCACCACCCCAGAGAGCTGTAGTTGGTTCTCTCCCAGCCCCTGCCCCGGGCAGCCACCCTGGGCCAAAGACGGATCTCGCCTTTAAAACAAACGCTCATGTGCATGGAGTCCAGCAGAACCTACTTTCTATGTTTTTAAGATTCATGCACATTGCTGTGTGCATCAGCAAACGATTCCTTTTTTCAAATGAGAAGTGCTCCCCCATGTGGGGAGCACCACACGCTGAGGGACAGCTGGGCTGCTGGCGGTGACACTTACCAGAGCATCTGTAAACGTGTGCATGTCCGTCTGTGCGGACCGGTGTTTTCCTTTCTCTTGAGTAAATGTCTAGCGTCAGATTGCTAAGCTGTGCGCTAAGTTTATGTTTCACATGACAAGAAACAGTCCCTGTGGTTTCACTGTCTTAGATTCTCACCTGTGGTTTCACTGTCTTACGTTCTCACTGGTGCCATGGCTCCAGCTGCCCCGTGTCCTTGCCAGCACTTGATACTGTCTTGATCTCAGGTGCCCAGCCACGTGTGGTTGGAGGTCACTGTGGACTTGGCATGTGTTTTCCCTGACCACTCATGATGTTGATCATCTTTTCCTTTTTTCATTGGCCATTTTCCATCTTTTTTTCCTTCATTTTTCTAACGAACTTTCTGATCAAATTTTTTGCCTGTATTTTTATGGAGTCATTTATCTTACTGTTAAGATAGAATTCTGGGCCGGGCAGTGGCTCATGCCTGCAATCTCAGCACTTTGGGAGGCCGAGGCGAGCAGATCACTTGAAGTCAGGAGTTCGAGACCAGTCTGGCTAACATGGCGAAACCCCATCTCTACTAGAAATACAAAAAAGTTAGCCGAGTGTGGTGCTGCACGCCTGTAATCCCAGCTACCTGGGAGACTGAGGCAGGAGAACCACTTGAACCCGGGAGGCAGAGGTTGTGGTGAGCCGAGATCTGGCCACTGCATTCCAGCCTGGGCGACAGAGGGAGACTCCATCTTAAAAAAAACAAAAAGATAGATTCTGGATACAAGTCATTTGTCAGTCATATGTTTTAAAATATTTCTCCCCGTCTGTCGCTTGCCTTTTTATTTTCTGATGGTGTATTTTTGAAGTTTTTTTTATTTTGGCAGAGTCCAGTTTATAATATCCTACCTAGGAAATCTTTATGTAGTCCAAGGTCTTGGAGACGGTCTCCTGCTTTATTCTTGATGTTTGAGCATAGCTAGCTGGGCTCTTAGCAGGATGGTTTGGTAGCTCGTGGATCAGATTAAATGGTATTTAATTTGTGAACACTAAGTGCTCACAAAACAGAAATCAGTGTAAAAATTGGGTTTTGTTTGTTGTTGTTTTTAGAGCAACCAGAAATTAAGCAAGTTGATGGTGTCTTTTTGTTTCTTTCATTTTAGATCAACAGGGGGTCCTTCGGGTCGGAGTGGACATCGGATGGTGGCCTGGAAGAGACAGTTGATCCTTTTTGGTGGCTTCCATGAGAGTACACGGTTGGTACCAAGAATGGAAAAATCTTTCTCCCCTGAAGCATTAAGGAATGGGCTTTTTATGGGAAGAACATTCTGAATACATAAGACGCACTCATCCTCCCAAATCCAGCTTCATGGGACTGTGGCTTGGGCAGCCACACAGGACCTTGCCCTCCAAAGGGCCTCACACCGGCTTCATGCTGTATTCCTATTGAAATTCGTAACCATTGTTGAACAAGGGACCCCACATTTTAATTTTACACCAGGCCCTGCAAATGATGTGGCTAGTTGTATCTAAAATGGGGTTTTGGCTCGGCATGGTGCCTCACGCCTGTAATCCCAGCACTTTGGGAGGCTGAGGAGGGTGGATCACTTGCGGTCAGGAGTTCGAAACCAACCTGGCCAACATAGTGAAACCTTGTCTCTACTAAAAATACAAAAACTGGCCAGGCATGGTGGCAGGGGCCTGTAATCTCAGCTGTTCAGGAGGTTGAGGCAGGAGAATCGCTTGAACCCAGGAGATGAAAGTTGCAGTGAGTTGAGATCGTGCCACTGCACTCCAGCCTGGGTGACAAAGAGATTTTGTTTGGGGAAAAAATAAATAAATAAATAAAATGGGATTCTCAAACATTCGCCTGATTCAGAATACCCTGGAGGGCTGGTTAGAGTGCTGATCGCAGCTCTGACTCAGAGGCCTGGAGTGAGGCCCAAGAATCTGCGTTTTAACAAGCTCCCGGGTGATGCTGATGTTGCTGGCCAGGGGACCTCACTTTGAAAGCCACGGGTCTGGGATCACTTCAAAACACTCCTGTCCGGGAGAGCAGCGGCAGCACACCCTCCACAGCGATGCCGGAAGAGGAGGCCTGTGCTTCTCTTCTGATGTCACGTGGGTGTTTGTGTAGCCGGCATGGCTGCCCAGGGTGAGCTGCCGGCTCTCTCATTGTTTTAGGCCTGTCATCTGCTCGCATACCTTCTTGAGCTTCCTTAGTTCAGTCTAGAAAAGCAAGACACGGGGAGCTGGTTGTGCCTGTTTCTGTCCTAAGCACAGTAGCGTTCTAGGTGAAGCGTCGCAGACTCTGTGATCCTGGTGAAGGCCATCTTTGAAGGGCTTTCTGCTGGCCTTGTGGTGTCAGAGACAGTGGCTGTCTTTATCTCCGGGGCCTCGTTTGAAGCTCTCTTTCTCTACTGGTCCCTTTGGAAACAGCATTGCAACTGATTGATGTGACGGTGCCAGTCACAGCTTTGTTACATTGTGAGTCCAGTTGCATGCTCTGGTGATTCTTGGTCCGTGGTGATAAGTCTGTACAGCCTCCCAAAGTGGTGGGATTACAGGCGTGAGCCACCGCACCCGGCCAGGTTTCAGATTTTCTTCACTGATACATTCTCATTAATTCTGTGAATTGAGGGGAAAAGGAATCCAAATTCTTAAATACTTTGCAAGGGGGAAAATTTTGAAAATGTAATTCAAACTAAAAAATATTTAAGGCTGGGCAC